TGGTTACATGTGGTCCTTTCGCGTTCTTGTACCCCTGTTGAATGTTGTTTCAATGATATAAGCATCCTACGATAACAAAAAATATAATTTTTCATAAATGAACCAAATAAGCCAATTCACATTTCATCCAAATCTTAATAAATTTCAGCATAATCAACCAATGCACTATATTTTAACTATTACCCAACCAAATAAGTACTCATCTTTGAAAGGCTGGGTAGTTGAAGCCCTTGGATTTGGCAGGATAAGTTTTGGTGCGTAGTTTATTATGCATCGCTGTCTCTTCGATTATAAGTAAACAAACGCGTTCTCTCTATCCCTACCCTCCAATTCCTCCATGTGCTCGCCCTTGTTAATTTCAGAAGAAAACCAGAAACGCATAAATTAAAAATCCAATCTTGACAAGAAAAGTTGATCAAGAAAGATTAAAAAGAAACCGAGAAAGGATTTGAGAGGCAATTCATCAATTAAACATGTGTTGCGAAGGCGATTGCAGGCCGCTGGGTTTCCTTCTGGGCTTACCCTTTGCCCTCCTCTCTCTAATCGTCTCTCTTGTCGGCATAGTAGTCTGGGTTGTCGGGTCAGTCATCTCTTCTTCAATCTTCATTCATCTCTTTCTCTTTAAGTCTATTATAATTATTATTTAGGCACTGAAATAGTTTTCCTCTGTTTCTTTTTAAAATTATATAAAAAGCATAGATGTATGTATAAATTCCTTTAACTTGAAGATAATATATGTATATGTATGTATAGGTTGCTATTGACCTGTATATGCCCGTGTTGCCTTTGTTTGACGGTGGTGGTGGAGTTGGCGTTGGAGCTCATCAAAGCCCCTTTACATGTCATGTCATGGTGCACTTCTAAGATCCCCTGTTGATCGAGGCCTTCAACGTTTTTTTTTTCTTTTCTCTTCGTTTGGTGGGGTGGGGTTGTTTGTTTATTATGTTTTCTTGGAGTTTTTGTGAGTGATTATATTACGTAATAGATTTGAAATACTATAGATTTAGTTCTGAGATTAAATTATCTCTGTATTTAGAGAATAAATGTGATAATCTTCAAATGATTTTTTATTGTTCCTTCAACTGTTTGATCGTGTGAACAATTCTTTTTTGCTGTTTGTGAATTGGTTTGTTTAGGTCTAATAAGAATTACTCCGCATATAAAATAGGCTAATATGGTTTGTTGGATACCATACAAGTATAATAATATACGGAGTAACTACTTAGATATAAATATCCATGTTCTTGTCCTTCACGATTTTTCCTGCTTTTACGGAACGGTAAGATGATGGAAACATAAGCTTGGACACCTACACCATAAAAAAAGTTTTTATATAATGAGGTAATTCATGATATACAAATTGAATACAACAGAATAAGGAAAAAAAATGCTAAAGGTATCCCAATTTGTATCTCATTTTGTACTTCCACCCTATTTTTGTGGCTCACAAAAGCACCTCATTAAAGTGGGACAATTCATTTATTGAATTGGGCTTTTGTGAGCCACAAAAATAGGTTGGGGTACAAATTGAGATACAAATTGGAGTACTTATAATAGGGTTGAAGGAAAAAACGTTGGTAGTTAACTTTTTGGGAATAAGCAACTTTTCGTATCAATGGTATCATTTTAGAAGAAGAAGAAGGGTGTTGCTAGGCGCACCCTCCATATTACTTTATGTAATTCTCAATGGACAAATTTGACCCTTTTATTTTATTGAAATTGCTAGTTATCCGTAGTAGTTTGGAACCACCCACTAACCATTTTAAATTCTTTCACAATTTCTCTCCGTCCATTAATTTGGTGCGATGTGGCAGATTATTAATTTTATACAAAATCGTAAGTTTTTAAATTTTTGCTCTAATTTTTTACATAAAAATGTCCGATTAAAATCAATAATATTCTATGATATTCCATTACACTATATCATATGGAACGGATGTACATTACATGTATAATTTCTTTTTAGTAGTCATAAATCATACGGTAAATTAGTAAGGTTAAAATTATTATTTTTGGATATAAGAGTGTGACCTTATATATTAATATCGAGAAACATTATTTTATAGGATGATCACAATTGAAATTTGAAGGATACATATTAATTTGAGAGAAGTTAATTTATTATGAGATATGTAGTATTAATTTATAATTATATGATTATATCACCAATAAGGACGTTTTTAATTTGATTGAAATGTTTAAATCTGATTTGGTCTAATCTATTTAAGTATGATTTAGTCTGATCCAAACTGATCCAAAATATGTGTATTGAGTCTATTCAATGTGTCTTATTTGATCCGCCCCCTATACATACTACCTTAAATGTTCTCGATGTAAAATGACACAGTTATTTAGACAATAGTTAAATCAGATAATTCGAATATATTTCGAGATATAGTTTTAATGAGTATATAATATAATGAGGTCATCTAAGCGTGTTATATATGTATTATTTTTTAATATTTAATGATTAATTTGTCATTTACGAGTGTCAATTGTTTTCTAAAATAAAAATGAAAATCTTATACGTACTATGAATCATGAGACGTCCAAAAAAATGAAAACCGTCTAATGGAACAAAGGGAGTAGTAATTGTTTGATGATAGTTAGGAATTGTAATTTTGATTATATTAGGTTGTTTTTACTTGGGCTATATTCTGTCCCATATCAGACCAGACCAAACCGGGTCAAACCAGACCAGACTTGAATAGTTATAAAAATATAAAGAGACCAAACATTACCAGACCAGACCAGTAAAAACATCCTTAGGGTTTAATTATGTTTTAAAAAAAATTCTTTTCTTTTTAAAAAGATAGTTGTGTCAATAAATAGAGGAACGTTAAAAAAAATCAATTTAATAATGTTGTCAAATAAAGAGTGATAATCATGTCTAACATCTAACAAATACGTATTAAAAGCTAAGAGATGTACGATTAAATTAAGAGGTGCGCCCAACAAATAAGTGGACAAATTAGTCCATTAATGAGCAAAGATCGGTGCGCCCAGCACACATGGAGGCGCGCGGAGTCCCTTCGAAGAAGAAAAGTAGATAAGATGATGACGATAATGATGAGGCAGAAACAAATAAAGGAACTTTTCGAAATATGAAATTTATTGAAATGATATTTAATTATAAAAATGTGATCTACTATAATCTCGTAGACATTCAAAAAAAGTAGGGAAAATTGTCAAATAGATCCCTGTACTATTAGAGATTATAAACTATGTACTATAATCTCCAACATTGGAAATAACTCTCCAGCCTTTTATTAGAGATTCTTATACAAACGTTTTTAGTCCTATTCTGGATAATTTTCCTAACTGTAATTGACGAATCAGATCATTGTAACTGACTGGTCGGGTAACTGTAGTTGATCGGTCGGGTAACTGTAACTAGCAGATTAGGTAATTGTAATTGACTGATCGAATAACTTTGATTAATCGGGTCGGGTAACTGTAACTGATCAAATTGAATAACTATAATTGGGTCGATTCGGGTAATTGTAACCGGTAGGTTCAAGTAACTGTAACTGATCGGGCTAAATAAATATAATTGATGTGGTTGATTTATGTAACTAGTCGGATTAGGTAACTAAAACTGATCAGACGAATAACTGTAATTAGTTAAGTAGATAAATGTAACCGGTTGAATAAAGTAATTGTAACTAGTTGGATCAAGTAACTATAAATCATAATAATGGTAATATAAATGGGAGAGGTTATAAAAGTTAAATATCTCTTTCATTGGTCCTTGCTAGCATCTTGGAAATTGCTAGAAGGAATAATACATGGTACTACTATGTAGTTTGCTGGCAAGGGTATATATGATATTTCCATCCCCGATTTTAAAATGGTGCTGCCGAATGGTCCCTGTTTGGATATGAATAAAGAAAGTCATATATTTGTCCAAATGCTTTTAATTAGTTAGGCATGGACCCGGGCCGGGTCGGGCCCAGGCCGGGTCAAGGCCCGGTCGGGCCTCGGGTCCTATAAGGGTAGGCCCGGGACCGGCCCGGTCAATGACCGGTTCCGGTTCGGGCCGGGTCACCCGCCCGGGTCACGGGTCGGGCCACCCGCCGGGCCGGGCCGGGCCGGGTCAATAATTTTTTTTTTTTTATATTAATTATATATTATACAAATTGCTATTAAAAACAAAGTTCAAGTGCATTTATTTGAAATAAGAACTACATTTGAGAATTGAGAAAAAAATAACAATACGAAATACATTTTGTAATGAATATCAATTGGGATTTCCGCCACCGTTGGTTGTTGTTTTCCCTTTGTCACAAGACTTCATATGTTTTATTGGCATCCCGTATCCGTATGAACCCCCCAAGCAACACTCTTTCTTGCACCACCTGCAAGTTGCCCACCACAGTCCGGTCTTCGGGTCCTTCCACTTGTCAAAATTGTTTTGCATAAGAGAAGATGTACTTTCCATATTTAAAATGGTATATGTATAACACTATAAGTAATTAAGTAGGAATGTAGGATAATAAGAGAAGATAAAGATGGAGAAGAGTTTGAGAAGAATTGGAGAGATTTATAGGTGTTTTTGAACCCCACTCCCCACACCACCACCCCCGGGACCCCCCTGCCCCCCACCCATAGCCCCAACGGCTATATAGCCGTTTGGGAGCTTTGAAATTTTTTTTTTTTTAAGTTATACACATATTGTAAAATAAATTAATTAATTTAATGAATTAAGTAAAACTAAAACAAATGTTACAAAATAGGTGTATAAGTATTTAAACAAATTACATATTCTAAATGTATTTTTAATTTAAAAACCGGCTTTATATTTTAGAAAAATAATTTTAAGTCGTTAGATTGTAACCAATTAATTAATTTGAGAAGTGCTACATATGAAAAAGTGAACACATATTTATTTGAAATATGAAGTACAAGTTTACAAATTAATTTGAACTACAACTACAAATTTACAATTTTGAAATATGAAGTACAAGTTTACAATTTTGAAATATGAAGTACAAGTATAAATAAATTTGACAAGTGCTATAAAATACATTTTGTACTAAATTCTAAAATACTAATCAATCGGAATCTCCGGCATAGGTAGAGCCACCATCGGTTGTTGAGTCATCCATAAAATCTTGGGAGGGGGTGATGCTCAATTCTTGAGTTCTACATGCGGCCTTCAACCAATCGTGGTAGCATATAAGCGTCTCAAGAGACTCCGCGCTCAATCTCGATCTAGATGCCGTTAGGACGTTGCCGGCCGAACTAAATTCTTGTTCCACCGCAACTGTTGAAACCGGCATTGATAGTACTTGCTTAGCCATCCGTGCTAAAATCGGGAACGTTCTTTCTTTTGACTTCCACCAGTCTAGAACGTCAAAGTCATCATTTTCTTCAAAATCAACTTCATATGTTAAATACAAAGTAATCTCATTCAATGCGCTTTGTTCAGCCGCGTTTATAATATAGTTATCATGTTCTTTTAAAAAAGCAGGAAAATGTTCTTTATATCTAAGAACAACTTTAAGTAATTTATAAGTACTATTCCAACGAATACTCAAATCTTTAGGAAAAGCAACATATCTCACACCTCTTTCAGTCAAATAACTTTGCCATTTTAATCTAAGTTGACCATTACCCCAAATACGTCTAACCCCCCCCCTTTATTACCTCCATGGAATCTCCTAACGCTTTTAAACCGTCTTGCACACATAAATTTATAACATGACATGCACAGCGTTGATGAAAAAATCTACCCATCAAAGAATTGGCACCACACAACTCACGCAATCTAGGTATAGCAGCAGTATTATTAGTAGCATTATCGAAACCAATAGCAAACACCTTATCAATCAAATTATACTCAATTAAAATACGCTCAATCAAAATATAAATATGTTCAGCGGTGTGACGATCATTAAATTCACGAAAAGCAAGAACACGTTTATGCATATTCCAATCCTCATCAATATAATGTGCAGTCAGACCCAAATAATATAAATGATGAAAATCATCCTCCCATATGTCAGAACAAATAGTAACACGCCCATCAAAGTTTGCAAAAAAATTTTGTAACCTTTCCTTTTCCGCATTATAAAGCCTTATTATTTCTTTCTTAACAGTTTTGCGACTATAATTTCTAAATTGAGAATTTAAACTACCTTGTGCATAATCTCTTAAAGCAAGACTTTCAGAAAACAAATAAGGCAAATTTTCTTCACAAATTAAGTTAGCCATACCAGTCAAATTTTGTGCATCATTGTAGGCGAAATTACCAAAAGGTTGAGAATTCGCAAACCTCGATATTTGAGTTTGCTTCCCCGTTCCGCCGCCTAATTTTGCGTACTCCACGGGGTGCTTTGACTTAAGATGCCTTGCGGCGGATCCGTATCCGCCGGAGGTTCCCAAACTATAATTGTTGTTGCACCACTTGCAAGTTGCGTGCCAATAGCCAGTTTGTGGGTCCTTCCATTTATCAAAATTATTTTGCATTAATTCAGACTTACTTTTTTTATTACCGGTGGCGGTTTGGGATGAGGCAGGCGCGTCGGCGTCGTGGCTGCCGGCACCCTCCTCCTCGGCCGTCTCCGGTTCCAATTCCTCCGCATCTTCATCCTCAAGCTCCTCTTCGTCAATGGTCGTCGGCATTTGTTGTTGTTGTAGAAAGCGGTTATTATGTCGGGCCAATTCTTGTTGGAGTTGTTCTTCGGACATCGCATCTCCATCTCGCCTTTGGTAACCCGTTTCAAAATCATCTCGGCTTTGAGATGAAGACCCGGCAAGTTCTTTACCTTTGCGGGATTTCTTCCTCCCAATCTCGTTTCTTCGATTGCGTTGGAGGTTACCCAAATCAACCGAATATCTACCACCTTCCATCTAAAAAATGTAACAAATATTAATTCACAACAAATATAATAATGGATACAAAACTAATGCAACTAATTAAAACTATTTTAATTAATACTTCAAACTAATTTTTTGCAAAGTAGAATTAATGTGTGTCTCTACAATTAAAATTATAGCAACTTTTGAAGTAAATAACTAGTACAAGTAAAAATGTAACAACAATGCTAATTAAGTAGTTAACTAGTATAGTGACAAATGTAACAAACTAACAACTAGTTAAATAAAATGTGAAGTATTTTAATTAGTATAATGAAAAATGTAACAAGAATGCTAATTAAGTAATTAACTAGTATAATGAAAAATGTTACAATAATGGTAATGAACTAATTAACTAGTATAATGAAAAATGTAACAAGAATGCTAATTAACTAATTAACTAGTATAATACTAGTTATAGTAAGTAATATATAATATAATGTTTATATTATATAATATATAAGTATACTATACTATACGATGAGTAATACACTTATATTTTATACTTTAATATATAAATATATATTAAGTAGATGTAGAATGTATGTATTAAGTGGATATAATAATTGTATAAGAATTAAATATTAGAGTATAATGGAGAATTGGAGATTGGAAAATAAGTATATATAAAATATAAGTAGAGAAGTAGATATTATTATGTATTAAGTATATAATAATAGTTTATAAAGTATATTTAATACTTTATTATATAAAGTATATATTAAGTAGATATAGTATGTATGTATGTATTAAGAGATATAAGTAGAAATTAAGTAGATAAGAAATATAAGCAATATAGTATATGTAGATAATAATATATATAAGTAGATAATTAATATATAAGTAGATATAATAATTGTATAAGTATTAAATAGTAAAATAAAATATAAAGGAGAATAAGAGAATTAGAGAAGATGAATATGGAGAATTGGAGAATGGAGATGAGTAGAGAGTAGGATTTAGAAGAGTTGGAGAAGAGGTGTGAAAAAATGTTTAAAATTAGGAGTATTTATAGGTTTTTTTTTTAACCCCCACCCCCCACCCCAACCCCCCACCCCACCCCCCCACCCAAACCCCCCTGACCCCCCCTGGTACACCCAACGGCTATATAGCCGTTTGGGGTAGCCGTTTGAGCCAAAACAATCCAAAAAAAAAAATTTTTTTTTTTTTTTTAAAAGTGGACCGTTAGGCCCGGGCCCGGGCCCGACCCGGCCGGGCCGGGCCTCCAAAACCAGGACCCGAGCCCGGTCCCGCTAACCCGACCGGGTCTCTGCCCGAACCGGACCCGGACCCAAGAACCGGGCCGGTTCCGGGCCCGCACAGTGACGGGCCGGGCCGGTCCCGGGCCGGGCGGCCCGAACCGGGTCCACGCCTATAATTAGTACTCCCTTCGTCCTATTGGACTTTGCCAATTTTCCTTTTTTGGTTGTCCAAAAAACTGTCACTCCTATTAAAGCAACTAATTTGTGGTTCTGCACATTTCTCTCTCCTCTGCACAAATCTCAACTACACAGTTTTTACGATTCTTATTTCTCACCTACTTTGCACTTGGCAAAGTCTACCGGGACGGAGGTAGTAATATCTATAACCTAACCCTATAAACTTTAATCATGCACTTATTAATTTATTATTACACAATTCAAATTCCGGTCAAAATTTGTGTCACTATATTTAATAGTAACCCGTAATTCCAATTCCAATGTACAGTTCTTGCCATGTTCTCTTCTCTCTATTGGACTTTTTCAACAATTTATAGAGGTGTTTGTTAAACGGTATGTTAGACAATTCTTGGCGTTTGGATTCACTCTAATTGAGCAACTATTTCTACTTTCTAGTAAGCCATCTGATTTCACTCTGGTTGAACAACTATTTCTATTGAAAAGGACACTTGAAAAGCTTTTTCAAGTTGAATAATCGTAGTTGAATAACAATGCCATCTTTATCATTAAGTTGATTACAGAGCTCTTTCATATTGAGCTCTTTCATATTTAGGTATGTCAATGGATTTGATTTGGATCATGATCCAAGTTGGAGTTGCTCTTTTAATGGGTATGACTGGTATGAGTCTACACTTAATTCCATTTACCAAAATCCGAACCCTGATGATGTATAATGTCCATATATTGTAGGAAAGAGTTTACTTGATCATCAATCAACCATTTTTAAATTCTATAGAGAACCTTGAATTGGGATGGGGTACTAGCTAATCTATAAAATTGTACCGTACATACAATATTAGACTCAAAAGTAGAATTACCTACCTGACATCAGTACCCAGTGCACATAAAGTAGTACTCCCTCAGTCCCAAATTGTAAGATACATTTACTATTCATTTGGTCAACATAAATCACTTCTAAACTTTTATTTTATATATCAAAAATTTATGAAGTTTGAATTATTTTTTGCAGGTTTTGTAGCGGATTTAATGTAGTTTTTGAATATGTAAATTTTATTTTCTAGAACTAATTTGGGTGTTGACAGGGATCAATTTGCTTTATCGTCAGTCAAACATCGTAAACCGAAATGTATCTTACAAATTGGGACGGAGGGAGTAGTTTTTACTCATCCTACCGTCTTATTTCTTGAAGATCTTATTTCTTACTTGCATTAAAGATTAAATAATGGTTTATTGATTTACAAGGAGTCAAGGACAATACATGATAACAGCCCAGCATGTAAATGGGATGATCAGCAAAACCGACCTCGCACAGCAAATGGAGCTGGATCTACTTTCCCAGGACTCCCCATGACCATATCAACTATCATTTCAGCAGTTCCTGGGGCCTATGTATATTTTTTCCATGAATTAATTTCATCAGGCAATTCACTCATTCTGTAATATACTGTTATAGCTGTTCACAGATAACAAATAGAAGTCAGTTTGGATGAATGGTTGAGATAAGAAACTATCTTATGGCATTTCAATCTAAAATAATTCGTAGCTTTTCCCCTTGAAACTCTCTTCATCCAAACTGACCCTAGAGGGAAGTAAATGCAAGATATAATACCAGTGAGAGTCCTTCTCCTTCATGGCCAGCCGCCACAAAGAGGTTTGACAATCCAGGTACAGGGCCGATGACCGGCTTCCCATCAGTACCTTGACAAGTTTTAACACAATTTTTGATCAAACAATATGGAAACAAAATAATACATAATTCTTTAAAAAGGTGAAATGCCTTATTATATACTCGTATATAAACTTACAGTAAGGTCTTAGTCCCACTCTCACTTCACTGTTTTGACGCAACTCTTCTAGAGATTCTTTTCTCAGCATTGGAAAGAACTCTCCAGCCTGCTCCCATATTCTTTTGATGATGGATTCATCCACCTCATTATTGAAGCCAACTAGTTGACGGCTGCTACCTGCCCATAATTTTGGTTAATATAATGATTATAGTTCTAAAGTAAACATGATGGAATATGACAGCATATATTAAAGTAAACATGATAGAAAAAGACTAAAGTATATGCTGTCCAATACGTAAGGACAGCATATACTAAAGTAAACATGATGGAAATAGACTACAGCTTTGTTTGGTATTCATGAATATAATTCTGTCTTATTCTGCTTATCAACAGAATAATCAAAATAAGTAACTTTTGACAGAGTTAGAGCCCGCTTGGTAGCCAAACTACTCCTCTTGCTTAGATATGTGTAATGTGCAAATATCTATTATCCATTTGTGTGGACTGTTTTCCACTTTATGTTTGGGAATTAAATATATACCAAGAATGAGACCACCAGACATGTTCATGGTTGCTGTCATTGAGACAGATGTAGTTTGTACTGTATGAGCAGATGCTGAATTAGGTGCAGATTTCAGGGATTCATGGTTGACATATCCGGCCTCCATAAGACCATGATTCAGCTTAAAGGGCTTAAAGTTATCAATCACAAGTAGGTGGCCCTGTTGATGCCCAGAAAAATGAAAAATCTTAACATCATATGTGCAGCATAATAATATAATAACTACTAACCACTATCAATCATATCAGCCCCCTCAATGGAACGATACGAATGGTGCCAACTTAATTGTCTAAAACTAGTTAACACTTCAAAAGAATGTGAAAATGTGAAAAAGTAAAGGTAATGAGACATGTTTAAGAGTGATGTTCTCAAGGTTAGATAGTTGTTAATATGAACTATTACAATATTAATTAATATTAGACAGTCAACATGCATGAAAATAGTATATGAGTCAACATCATCATGGACATGTATGAAAATAGTACTACAAGTATTCGCACTAGTGTAAGGAGGACCACAGAGTTCCCTATTACTATCGAAGTGCACCAAGAATCGGCTCTATGTCCTTTCTTATTTCATATAGTCATGAATGAACTTACAAAGTCGATTCAAAAAGATATACCGTGGTACATGATGTTTACCGATGATATGATGTTGATTGATTAAACACAATCTAGTGTTAAAATAAAGTTGGAAGTATCTAGTATGGCAACAAACCTTGAAGAAAAAGAGTTTTAGATTGAGTCGAAGCAAGACTGAGTATATGGAGTGAAAGTTTGGTAGAGATAGAAGCAGTAATATGTTCTGTTACCTAGGCTTCATAATTCGGAAGGATGGTGAACTAGATGAAGATGTATCCCATAATCATAACAAGGTGGGTGAAATAGTTGGATTTCTATGTGATCGAGGTAATCTGCCTAAACTGAATGGTAAGTTTTATCGGACAGCTATGGGGGCCTGCGTTATTGTACAATGTAGAGTGTTGGACGGTGAAACAATGACATTCAAAAGATGAGTGTGACTGAGATGCGTAATGTGTTGGATGTGTGGACATACTAGAAAATGCCTCTTGATGAATGATACAATTAGACAAAAGGTGAGAGTATCACATATTGAAGATGATGTGAGAGTCTCAATTGCGGCGGTTTGGCCATATGCGTAGAAGACCGAGTGATGCATATGTAAGACGAGTTAAGAGGTGGGGAGAAGAGGTGGGGAGAAGAGGCGGGGGAGAGGGAGAAAAGATACAAATAGACGTGGATTAAAGGAGCGATGAGTCATATGCTTCTTCTTGAATTGGATGAAAGTATGACTTCGGAGAGAGCAAGGTAGAGGGAGGATATTTGTAAAGAATTGATCTCTTTTTATCTTCTTAAGGCTCTTTATCTTTCTCTACTTCTCATCTTATATTTATTCATCCTTTTTATCTTTATATTATATTTATTTTATCTTTTTAGCCTTTTTAACCTTATCGTATATGTCTATCTTTTTTTATCCTTTTTAGCTCCTGTTTCATGTGTCGATTCATGTTACCCGACCCCAAACTCTTTTGGTACTAAGGCTTGAATGTTGTTGTTATTGTTGTATAAAGTCAATATGCACACGATGGAACATGGCCCTAACATACAGTAGAAATATGATACTCTCTTTGTTTCATAATGAGTGTCATTTTGTAGAATGTCCGTTTATAAACGGAACATCAATATACCATATATGGGTAGTTTAGGTATGAGTGTATAACACTACTTGTGCTTTACCCTAAAACTAACTATTTGTGGGGGGGCAGTAATTAAAATGTGATAGGTTGCCATCAGAATAGCAAATTCTCTTTTCTAGAGCACATTTCTTTTCATCAAAATAAATCTGGAGTTACTTGTAGTTGCCTAGTTGGTACACAATATGTAGTGCCCAAGAGCATAAAAGTTTTCTCTAAAACTAATTTTTCTGTATAAGCCATAAGCTATCTTTTTATATGAGATTGGAGGGATGTTTATGCTGTTAAATTAGGGGATTGGTTACTTTGAGCACAATAGCACATGAACTGAAATGGGAAGGAAATGGATATGGTGTACTATCAGACTTGAGCAAGTCCATCAGAAAAGGATACTACCTTCCGAGGCTTGATAGGGAGATCCAATTCAATATCATGATGCTTAATAAGTTCATGCATCAAAGAACCACTCCAACAACCAGCTGCAAGTATAACAGCCTTCTTACTATGCAAAATGTTCTTGGATGTCTGAACTGCTTCAACTTCTCTATGATTGCCTGATCTTAATTTTTTAAACAATCAACACAGTAATTAATATATGGGGGATCTTAAATAAGACTTCAACTTTTAATGAACTCCCATTTTTGCAACCTTAACAAGGAAGTAGCAGGCTCATGATAGAACTCTGCATATCGGCCTTCTGAGGCAAATTGCCTATTCCCCTGCACATTGAATATCATTTAAATGGATTATATAAACGTATTCCCCCCGCTCCATAAAAAGTTTTCTGTTTCAACGGCTTTTTCCAAAAAATAAAGTAAATGTTTGTCAAACAGGACACATTTTTTGGGATGACGGAGTAACATGCTTTCAAATATTTGAAAATTGCTTAAGAGGTCAATAAGCTGGTTCTAATAGGAAAGATGTAAATTGTAAATAAAATGAACCTTCTCAATAAATGCCACTGCACGCCGAGCATCAAACTGACAATCATCAGGTGCATAAGCTGCCCCACCTTCCTTTTCAAGCACAAGTGCAGGCTCTTCAGAGAGCAAATCACTGCTTGTCAAGAATTCTGCCCTCATACCAGCATCACACAGTTTCTCCACCTTTCTTCTTAGAATAGAGGATTCCTCAGATGTTCTACCAACCAACAAGCTTCCTGATGATAAGAACACCCCTTGGTTTTATGTGGTGGCTATAATTCGGAAAGATTAAGTACGGTGGTAATACATATCAAGACAACAAAGTACCTGTCTTCTTCCATCCAAGTATCTCTGAAGGATCCGTTCCTTCAAATTCAATGTTCTTGGCAAGGTCCACCCATAGTTGATGGCTTCTTTCTGCCAGTTCCCATTTATCAGTATCTGGTGATTTGTGTACTTTCCACAGGTAGCCTTGCCCTAGAACCAGTTCAAAGTCCAAATATATAATGTAAGCCGACCATACTCCAGGAAATGAAATAGGAGATGCATAAGATGAATCATAAGGCGGTCCATGGAGGTCCATTTTGTTCAGAACTAAAACAGGACATGGAAGTAATACTGTAATTGTTTTATTTTTATTTTTTTGGATGAATGGATACTAACTGGGAAGATAAAAACAATGGCTATATTCAGGGAAAAGTGCTATGTCTGAAATGTTTTAATTACTCCATATTTATGGAGGATTTGTTTTTATCATACTAACTCCAAAGTTTGAGGGCTCTGTGTTCCCAACAGGTAAACTAGCCTTAGAGCCAGAGTCCAGATAAAATGCCAAATAGAATAGATAGGAGAAAATTCCTTAAATAGGACTAAAATATTGGCAAAGTGCACAAATAGGACCACCATTGTTTTCTTCCTAATTTATTAATCAATCACTCCTAATTGGGGAAGTTTTAATGTTTTATACTTTTAATAGGGCCAAATAAGTCATATTTTGAGAATAAAATATAGTTACTCCTATTTGTGCACTTTGTCTATGTTTTGAGCAATTTCTTAAGATAAATAAATCCGTAACTAGTAACAATCTACTGTTAGGCTGTTAGTTTCATGGTTATTTGGTCCTAGTCTCTTCTCACTAATACAGAGCAAGAGTTATGTATCGGTAGCATTGCACTTCTGCAGATAATGGAGTGCCAAAGGAAGTCCAATATTCAGACATGATTGCTGCTTAAGCAGCGCTAAACAGTATATAGCGCTAAACAGTTAAGAGACGGTTGATAGTCATGAGATATGCAACTATGTTTACAGCTCCCACTGGAGTGGCGTATTAGCGTATACAATACCTGCCCCCGTAGCGCCGGAGCAAGGCACGGCAGCATCAATCACAGCGACGGAGAGATCCGACCCGAGTAGGAATTGGCGCGCTATTGACAAACCGATTATTCCGCTACCGATTATCACCACATCGAAGGAGCCCGAAAATGAGGTCTGGTTCAGTTCAGAAACGCGAAGCGGCGCGCATTCATTTGAACGGGATTTTCTAACCGCCGTCGAATATGAGGGAGGTCCATAACCGGCAAGTTTGCGTACACCCGGCCTTGAATGCGGCGGCAGAAGAGGTGGCCGGATGGTGTTAATCGGATGAGAGAACTCAACTCTGTTTAGTACGAGACTCGGCATGTGGTTGAGACTATTTGCTGCCATTTCTTGTCTGTGTACTATGCTTTGCTCAGGCCAAAAAAGGTGAAGTGAAAAAGGTGACGAGTGACAACGGTCCCTTTAAGAGTAGTCAAAAAGGATGAACCGGATTCCATTTGTGTCAAATTCGATAATACTCCAAAATAAAGTGACAACTGAGAATATTACCGAATCAAGGACTAAAGGCTGGTTTGCAACCACTTTAAAAAAAGCACTTCTCAGCTTTTGGCTTAAAAAAGCACTTATTTACCAAACACTACCAATTTTTTATTTTTCTCGGCTTTCGTGTCAAAAGTGCTTTTCCACTTTTTATACACCAAAAGCACTTATTTTACCAAACACTATCAACTTTTACTTTTCAAAATCACTTTTTTCTCAAACACTATCAACTTTTACAAATAATCACTTTTTCCAAATCACTCCAAAAGTGCTTTTTTTAAAGCAGAAGCTGTTGCAAACACTCCCTAAAAAGGTTGTAAAATTTTAAGACGGTTATGTTTTTATTACTAAAATAAGACTAATTACTGTCATGTTTTGACAGTATCTGACTTCAAATATGATAATATTTTCAAAACTTGGCACTTGGCAGTAATTACTCCTATTTTGGAAATAAAAAACATGACAGTCCTATTTTAGAATTTTCAAACTGTTTTAGTCCTATTTCGAAAACTTTCTCAATAAAAATGTATCACATTACCTATCATTTATTTGATTGATCCAAAGCATCATATCACTTTTAATTTTATTTAAATAATTCAATTATAATATATTGATTAATCTATGTGGACAATGGTATCATACATTATGGGTACCATAGAATTTACATAATGATATTTGCATATCATTCCCTATAAAAAAATTGAAATAACTAAAAATAGAGATATATTCATCAATATTTTCATAAATTAATTATATAAAAACGCAAAAAAGTTGGAAATACCTTTTAAAATTATTAAGGTTGTAAAAATATATTATTGGGTTATAAATACATATAAAAGATGGTACGTGTTTGCGATTTCAAAGCAAAAATATTAGGAAACTCAAGGAATCTCAAATGTATAAAAGAGAAAAGAGGCAAATAAGCCCACATACTAACCAAAAAGGGTCAAATAAGCTCATATTTAGGAGGCTCTGTCCAGCCGTCACCATTTGGGACGGTCCCCGGTGAAATTTTTTGATGAATTTTTTTGAGAATCTTATTCATTAAGTCTAATTTACTCATACCAAATTTCAGCTAAAACTTCAATCGCGAAAGCATTCAAATGAATTCTTGAAGATAACTGCGCAGTAAAAAACGCAGTTATCTTCAAGAATCCATTTGAATGCCTTCCCGATTGAATTGTTACCTGAAATTTGGTATGAGTAAACTAGACTTAATGAATAAGATGCTCAAAAAAATTCAGCAAAAAAGTTCACCGGAAACCGCCCCAAATGACAACGGCCGAACAGAGCCCCCTAAATAAGGGCTTATTTGACCCTTTTCCTTAGTATAAAATCATGACTATTTGTAGTCCTGGTCTCCTAGAGAGGCGTACCGGCTAAATAGCTATTAAATCAAATGAAAAAGACAATTTAGTAGCCACAAAAGCATTTAACCGGTCAACCAGGGGCTTACCGGCTAAATAGCTATTTTGGGCGTTTTTTCTTAAGTTGGGGTGTTTAATTGGGTGATAATTAAGTATGAGAACCTAATTGATGTTTTTGTAATAGTACACAGGCCTATTTGACAATTTTCTCTATAAATAACTATTTTAATACTACGTACTTTTGAAACCAGCAAAACGCTATCAAACCAAAAAAAATTGAAAACATGAAATATAGAACACAAAACAGGAACATTACCAAACGAACCCATACAGCCAACAGGTGCACTTTTATGTGCAACAAGTATTTCCCTCTTGCAAGTCATTACAGTATCTATATTAGAAATACATAACAATTACTATCGTACCATTCGTACGTTTTACAGATCATCCAGGTTCATCATTTCATCACTATGTATCATGGAGAGCTTCTTAGCATGTTGAGCTTCTTCTAAAAGGCGTTCAGATTCTTCTTCCAAAGCCAAGTCAAACGAATCAGCCAAGTTTGTTTTCCATAACCCTAACTTACACACTTTCACATATGCATCATAACCAGCAGCTCTAATCCCTTCAGACAACATATCCTTCAAAGAACCACAGTCATACATTGCCTCTAAGAGAACTTCAGAGTAACCTGAACTCCGGAAAACAATAACTGCACAGCTGTCATCCACCAGGAAAACATCAAATTCATGTGAGAAGACTTCATGTTTACCATACAGAAAGCTTTTCAACTGGCCACCGGAAATCCCACACTGGAATCCCCAAAGGAAGACCACATTTTTACTGCTAACTGTTTCACAACGTTTTGCCCGAACTCTAACTTCTTCTTCATTATTAGTAAAATCCTGATAACTGGTTGAGCAAGGATCAAATGTACTCCCATCGCATTTTAGAGATAAGGGAAAATGGCCATTTACTTCCTCAATGGCTTCAAGGGATTTTGGATCAACTTTCAAAATAAAGCAAAGCTTGGCGAACAACTCACTTATCTTTATAACATTATGGCCAAGACTCTTCATTTTGTCTGTGTCGGGTGATGTACCTGTAGATTTAGCCATTATTCAGAAATGGGAGTATTGATATAATGATATAACCCATGGCTTCTGTATTGATATTAGCAAGCAGGTCAAGGCAGGGACTTTTAGAACAGACAATATGCCGGATTTGGAGAATGGTTGGGGCAACTTTTGGTATTAGAGTTTTTTAGCTCAAAGGTTTTCTTAGTTAAATATTTAAATTGCTAATTTTGAAAAGGTACCAATCTGCTGCTTTCAAGCATTAAAGTGCTTTTTACTATTACGTATTATAAACACTCTTCCGTGTTCCTGGCAAGCACTTCTTTTTTTAGGTAGAACTTCTTCCTCTAAAAAACCTTATATGAAAATACAGAAGAGATCGAGTCATAGGGGTAAAAATTGTTATTAGGATAAGAGTTTTATTTGACAGAAATTCATTACAAAGTAGGCTAAAGGGCTAACTGGGCTATCACTTTTATAAAGGCATTTTTGTCAAATTCAGCATTTTTCCCTAACACATCCTCTACCACATTTCTCTTGAAAATAAGTCCTCCCGAGCGCACTATTCATGCATAAATCATTAAGCAACAGATAAAAAAGCTCTTCATGCATCATATTATTACTCCATCCGTTTCATTTTACTTGTCTTACTTTCCTTTTTGGGTTGTCCCAAAATAAGTATCATATTTCCTTTTTTAGAAAGAAATATGTGATCCACAACATTTCATTTTATTATACTAGAATCTCAACCAGAACTTTTACCTTTTTAACCAACTTATTGATTATTGTGCCAAACCAAAACAAGACACATAAAATGGGACGGGGGTAGTATTATTTATTACTATCCCATTTTTTGTGGGGTAAAAAAACGGTTAACTCAAAGTGAGAGTTCTTGCCTTGTTGGGGAATCTCCACATCTACTGGGGCAAAAAACCTGCTATTGAGGTAAGATGTAGCTACATATATATTATTCAAATTCTTCTGAGAGCCAAATTTCTTCATAAGGTGTTTCACGTCAATAATGTAAGGAAAAACAGAGCCCAGTGAGTGTCTAAATTCATCAAACGTTGATGGTAGAGGAGCTAGAAATTTGGAATGAATAGCTGTAAAATCTGCAATCGGGAAAAGCCACATTTCACTAAGACTCAATTTACAAAATAAAGGACATGTTTGGGTCCTGAAATATAGTAGGGGAAGAAAAATGACTACCAAGGAAAAAAATTATGTTCGGTTTTTCCTTTGACAATGTGAAGAGAAACAAAATTTGATTATAATTTTATATTTTTATATATGTATATGTTTCACCGTTTTAATATAATAGAAATATATAAATAACAATGAGTCAAAAAAACTAAGATTGGTTTATTGAGTATTTGAGTTTGAGCATATGTCTTATTCCCCAACAAATTTAACTTACTTCAAAATCTCCATCTATTTCCTTCCCCTAATATTTTCCGTGTTCCGTTCGGAGCCAAAAGGTTGGCAACTTCAAAAGAATAAAAAAATCGAAGAGATGAACCGTTAAGTGAATTGTGGGCAACAATAGGTTTTTGAGAACTGGCAATCAAATCAACCACTTCCCGAAAGCCATGAATATGCTTGTTATGATCCCTTTCCATGTCTTGCAGTTCCTTCTGTGGGTTAAAGATAAAATTAAAATTTAAAAACACGGTCTGATGGATCAACAGTCAACATTACTAAAATACTTCAGTTTCAATAGCACCTCAAAGAGATCCTTGTCTTCTTGTGAAGTTGTCAAGACAGCCCGGACTGTCTGTGTTCCACTTCCGTTTGCTGGAACTAATAGAGGTACAACATCAACAAACTCCTCAAGGGTCTGGAACCACACACAAAGTTCAAACTCTATAAGTAAAGGTTGAGTGCAAGAACATACCCCACCCCCTGTAGTTTATTAGTTTTCACCTCAATGCATATAAGTATAGACATGATTAATCCACTAAAGTTTAATTGTAGTGAACCACTGAGGGCATACTTGGATCCCAGGAAATGCTAGGGCACCGCTAAGGAAAAGAAAACAAATGCTAATGAAAGTTGCTCCCTATTTTCATGTGTTTGGCCTTGCATAGGAAAATGTAAAAAACAGTGAGATGGGATTTTTTACATATACTTAGATTTGATTGGGCTCATAAAATAGAAAACTCTATTTTTTATACTTGGTTTCTTAGTGCTCATAAAATAGAAATAAATCAATAAAAAAGAGTTTGAAAAAATATTTAAAGTGAGCTTATTGAGTTGGAATGCATCTTTATTATCCCACAAATTTTATATCCTTCCGATTTGCAACCCTACTTTCTTTCCCAAGCACTTTTAATGTTCCAACAGATCCAAACAGATCATACAAATATGTAAAGATGGAAAAGAAGAATACCTCACACACAAGTTGCACTTGCCGTTCACTGCAAGTATCTATGTTCAGGCAGTGCCTAGAACCATGAACTTCGATTGCAGAGATCAGTTTCCTCAAGGAACTAATTAAAACATCTATGAAATGTTAGCATAGATCAGAAATAAATTATGCAATTTCACTATAAGGTAAAATTCAAATCACCTTCAGGTTTCTTGCTCTGATCATTGCAAGCATTTTTCCAATGGTTGACTCGGGATTTGATCCTTTCTACAAATAAAGAATCAGCAACTGATCGGAATGATGTTGATGAAACTGTACACCTCCCTGCTGATAGATTTCTAATCTTGTCTTTGGCAGCATATTCGTTTGCTCTGGATAAGTATGATATGCCTGTCAGGAAGGACTCCGCCAATCAGATGAGGTATTCACCTTTTGTCTGTCAAAATACTATGAAAAAAAGTCACTAGCCTAAATTACATTGAGATCCACAACCATTTTTTCTCTATGCCCTTGAATTTAGTTACACACCTATGACCTAGAAAATGAATTGTTCCATTTTAGAAACTAAATGGTGAAGAAATCTGATATAAAGCATCATCCATACTTTACATTTTCTTATACTACCTCTGTCTCAGTATTAAGTTCAGTTCACTTTTCATGTAGTCAATTGAAATCCCTCTTAGTATCTAATTTTTTTGAATGGTCTTAACATCTAATTTTATATAACAAACTTCATCATATTTAAATTTGATGTTTGTGCATCAATAGGACATTTAATGTAGATAATGAATTATGAATATGTAAGTTTTAATTATCAAAAATAATTTCGGTATTTTCAATGATTAGTAAACTTTATAATCTGTTAAACCGAGTAAACTAAGACTGGAACTTGTCTATGGGAAAGAGGGGGAGTATAATACTACTCGTACTCGAAAACACAAATTTTGAACAATGGTAATAAGGTAACGAATGTGTCCCATATGAGGGCATGGGCGTGGGCGCTTTTTTTTTTCAATTAAGCTCACCATCAGTTATGCAGGCATTAAAGTCGAATCCTTCACGAGCAATAGAGACCATATAGGATGGCTGGCATGAAAAACTGTAAGAAGGCAACCCAATTTTCAACTCATCCCGAGGGAAAAGATGAAAATTGTATCTGCAAGAGAGAAAACATAAAAATGTAAACTTTTTTTATTTCTCTGAAGAACTACAATGAATAAAAAAGCATACGCACATAAATTGCGTAAATGAGCTATTAAATTAAGAGTTGAAATGAAGAAAAGTTACGGACGGGTATGCAATGAGTTTGGTCGCCCGCAAAGAGAAAGGGCAAACGGCAAATTGAAGAATCTGGAACCTCTCGGCTGCCTGTCTAGCTTTTAGATAAGCAATTCCGGCAGTGTCAAAGGGGCGAAGACGTTGCCAGGGAGAAGAGTAAGCGCCGGTCATCTGTAACGATACTGCGACGAAATCAGATTCGGCGATTCGGTTCCCGATCTCTTCCAGTGATTCGGAGAAGTTGGATTTGGTGACCTGCTTGATGGCCCATTTACCGTGACTATGAATGGCATTGGATTTCAACTGCAAATTTGCTTCTGAAGTAGTGCAGAGTAAGCGCCTGTGTAACATTGAGCCCACGCCGAACAGAAACGCGGCTTCCGTCAAAAGAGGAAGAGCTGGCGGCGTTTTTACTCACTTCGTCCAAACTGAAATTGTTGGCACTGGGCAGTTCGTTTGAAGTTTGAACCTGGTTCTTGTCATTCAGTATGAACGATGGGAAAATACCTAAACCTCCGTGAAAACAAATAGAAAAAATGTAAAGGTATCCAATTGGCAGTTGTTATACCGTATGACGGGTATACCGTGAGCACCTTATACCCCGGCATACGGTTTTTGGCAAGCAGCGTATTTGGCAAGCATCTAATTTTTATCTTTTATTTCTCTGTTTTTTTTTTAAATGGTAAAAACTTTTTTATTTTTGATCCGATTTTTATAAATTTTATACCAACAATTTTTATTTTTTATTTTTTATGATCTTTCAAATGAGACCAATATTGCCTATGTAATTTTAACATATTATCGAACTATTATATTAACCTATGTAAAATATGTAATTTTACGTGTAGAAATGTGTAACTCACGTCCAGTCAAGCCAAATGCAACTCGTGTGTATAAATATGTAACTTTACTTAAAAAAATATGTAACTCGCGTTCAGACAGGTTAAATGCAACTCGTGTGTATAAATATGTAACTCGGGTGTATAAATATGTAACTTTACGTGTAAAAATATGTAACTTCACATATAAAAATATGTAACTCACATGTATAAATACCTAATACAATAAATTTTTATATACACAGTTTTAAGATAAATTGAGATTTACACAATTATTTTTTTGTATTAAATTTAGTTTGGTTTTCCTTATAATCCAATACACGTTAATATAATAGTTCAATAATTTCTTAAAATTACATAAGCAATATTGGTTTTATTTGAAAGATCATGAAAAATAAAAAATGTTGATATAAATTTTATAAAAATCGGATCAAAAATAAAAAAGTTGTTACCATTTTTTAAAAACAAAAGGATAAAAAATAAATAAATCAGGTCTCAATACTCCGTCATTTTGCAACCGGGCGCACCATCCTCATAGTGCGCCGGTTGCACGATATAATTTGCGTCCAATTGGTACCCCCAATTTGTACCCCACCCTATTTTTGTGGCTCACAAAAACACATCATTAAAGTGAGGCAATTCATTTATTAAGATGGGCTTTTGTGAGCCACAAAAATAGGTTGAGTACAAATTGGGGGTACCAATTGGGGGTACCTATAGCAGGGTTGAAACAAATACTCCCTCATCCCAAAATGAAGTTTGCAAACTACTTTTTGGATAAGATTCACTTTTTTAAAGGAAAAATTGATAGTAATAATCCCAACTATTGGCGGTCCGCTCATAATAATCCCAACTATTGATTATTACAGAATAATCCCAACTTTAGGGACCTTCCGCCAATAATAGTCCCTATGAATAAATTCTTGTAGTTTCTAAAGTGGATGACATGAGATATAACAAGTAATCCCTATAAATAATCTAAACTTTTAATATTTACTTTTAATTTCTATTTAAAATTTTCTTTTTATAGAGGTAATATATGGTCATGGACCATTATTGGCGGATAGTCTATATAGTTGGGATTATACAAAAATAATCAATAGTTGGGATTATTTTCAGCGGACCAGCAATAGTTGGGATTATTATTTTCAATTTTTCCTTTTTTTAAAGAGGATAAGAATTAAGATTCATTTTAATTTTAATGACTTAATTAGGCTATAAATTATTGATTAAATTTTAATTTAGATTTTTCTAGTTTGTAGAGATTTTAATCTATTTTCTGAGTATGTAAATTTTGATTATTAAAATTGAATTAATTATTAATAGGAAGGATTTAACACTAGTTCACAAAAACTAGTGTTTTTAATTATTAAATGAATTAATTATTAAATCCATAGACTTTTATTGAATGAATTCTATTGTTTTTAAATTCATGGATAAATGTATTGACTTTTAAAAAGTCCATAGACTTTTAAATCCAGACTACCACTGTCGGTTGTTGGAATTTCACCTAGATTGCCGCTAATGATTTGCCTGTCCGCCTCCATCACTGGATCGGAGTTCGCCGCCAACAAAATAACTTTTGTTATGCAAGGGAAATATGGGAAATTAATTATATTAATTATATTAAAGGTAGAAATGTAATATTTTATCCTATTTAAAGAAAATCAAACATATGATCATACTTTGGTAAAATGCTACAACGTATGTTTTAGTCCTACCATGAGTAATTTCCTATGTGTAATATGTTAAAAAAAAACTATTAAATAAATAAGTAAATAAATGAAACAAATTTAATTCATCCAGCAACGCAAAGTTCTACAAAACTAAATGAAGCATAAGAACCCAAATTTATTTTTGATAAGAAGAAACACAAAGTTTCGAGAATGTTCAACAATCTCGATCTATTAATGATCAATTGTTATAATTTGTGTTACACAACTCAATGAGTAAGAACATAGATAATTACACAAGTGTTACACTCATTGCTACATGTGGTACAAACATAGGTGCAATCGACCTTTTTTTCTTAATAATTATTTTCTTTTAATTTTTAGCTTGTTAAATTTTGTATACTTATTTACGTTAAATATTTAGTAATTTGAAATAATATTTTTATGTGTTAGCAGTTTAACGATGAAACATATTAATAGTTAAAAAAATCTTAATGATTAACTGACAACGTACCAGAATTGCAGCGATTTAATACTATCGATTCTTATATCGGTTCTTCTAAAAACTTCAAGAACCGAATCGTTATGGGATGAACGGTTCAAGAACTGAACCGATCTCACCCCTACATTTTTCTTCGTAAGAAGACATATAAAATATCACTATTTATTTATTTTTCTAAATTGAAAAGATAAGTTTATCTTGTGTATCAATATTAATGTAGAAACTCCATGTTCAGCTTTAATGTTCAAATCTTGCATATTGAGACCATCCTAGTACCTACCTTCCGTCCCAGCCGGTACTAGTCCAGGACTTGTTGGCCGGTTTGTTATCCCGGCTAAATAATTAGCTAAATCTTCAATCACATTAATGCGTACTTGTGATGAGTAGAAGATGACTATAAATGTCCACGAAAATCATTGGTGAAAAGAAGAGACAATTGCAGAGAATTAATATACTAAAAATGAGTTAAAAGTCCACGAGAATCCGTGATTTTAGAAGTCCATAAGAATGAACAGAAATTTGAATACGCCTAGACTTTTATAGACTTGTAAAAGTCTATATTGAATACACTCAGACTTTTGTTAATTTTTAAAAGTCCACATTGAATACACCTAAACTTTTAAAATCCATAGACTTTTAAAATTTTGTCACTAACTCCTAATACAATACACCCCCTATAGTCTTTTTCGGGTTGTTTCTTGAAGGTTGATTTTTTATATTATACTCCCTCCGTTTCAGTTTGTTTGACATAGTTTGATTTGTCAACATTTAAGGAAAACATTTACTAAGGGGTAAATTTTACTGTTTGGGCACTGTTTGGACACTGTTTGAACACTGTTTGGACACTGTTTGACACTGTTTGAACACTGTTTGACACTGTTTGGCACTGTTGACACTGTTTTGTTTACCAAATGGGAAGTGTGACATTCATTTTGAAACGTCCAAAAAAGGAAAGTGTGTCAAACAAACTGAAACGGAGGGAATATTTATTTAATATTAGGCATGTTTTATCAACTGAGCCAGCCCTAGAATGATTCATGAGTTTTATCAATCAACTTTTTCTAACCAAATGTTCACTAGTAAACTGATGACGGAAGGCAAAAGATCAAACACTATTTATGATAAACAAACTTTATATATGTACTTTAAATTTAGTCCAAATCAAGCATGTTGACATTTTAGAACACATACTATAATAGATTTAAAAAGAATTCCAAAATCCAAACAAAAACACTTCAATCAAAATATGATGAAACAAATTCCTTTGCTACCATTCTTGGTGTACACACTTTTACTATTTATACACTTTTGCGCTATTGAACCATTCCACACATTTTGGCTACTTTAAATGGTAGGATTCATGAATTTAATGTAAAGGAGACTTCCAATTATCAAATTGCACTCGGCTCTAAATGACTCCTATATTCATCTCCTCATTCTTATTCGTTATTACTTCTTTAATATTTTGCACGGTTATCCATTATTGATTTTTAGTTTTTGAATATACAAATCATAGTTTAGCTTACTAAAAGTAGTTTAAACATGTTAACATGTGAAGACTATTTTTGTTCTGTGAATGCCTTGTTAACATGTTTACCGGTGCAAACATGTTTCACGTGTGAACAATCTATTCACAAGTAAAAACATTCACGAATATCTGTAAAAGTGTACACATTAAAAGTACTACTATACGTATGTGTATACAAAAGGTTAGTTTTTTCCTAAATTATGCAAATCAAATCCCGAATTCGGAGAAGAAAAACCGCGACTTGCGTGCGCGGGCGACTTGCGGACGACGATACGATTAATTTTTGTTTTCTTCCCGAAACGTTTAATTTTTTCCCAGCGGCAGAAGTGCTCGGACAGAACACCTCGTTGGTGTTCTAATGGCAGAACCCCTCATGGGGTATTCCCGCCCATCAGAGATGGGGTATTCTGATGGCCTCCGATCAGAACCCCCCCGGGGTGTTCTGATGGAGGTCTTCTGTCGCACTTCTGAAACGTTACAACAATTAATGCTCAACGTTTATATCTTTTAATGCAGCGTTAAATGGACAGTTCATGGACGATTCAATGCCCAACGGACTGGTCATTGATGTCCAACGTTCAGGTCCATTAATTCACTATTTTCACACAACAAATCCTCCTATATAAAGGCTGGCAGGTGGTTTCCAACAACACACGTTCTTACACAAATCCATACACGTTTTAGCTCTAAAAACACACTGCTAGCATTCCGAAAATTTCCCCTGTGTTCATACTGTGTTCTCGTTCGCTGGAACTTTTGTTTGTATGCTCAAACATTAGTTCGTAGTCATCGTATCCAGGGAAACGATTGTTGCAACGCTCCTAGCACCGTGGGAGGCAACAAATACGTTTTAAGGACATCGTGCGTAGCACGAGCTTTGACTTATTCTGCTTCATCTCCTTTCTTGTTTTTCTCTAGTCATTTTATTTAATTAATTTATTTTAATTAATTTTCTTTATTTTCCGAAACACACCCAACACATTCTTCTTGTTCTCTTCTACACCCTTAC